AATTGTGAAAATCCCTGAGAAATAACCTATCATTTCTGTAAGCACCATATTTAAAAATTCACCCTTATTGTAGTCTTCTATAATATGCCTATCTCTAAGCATGGACACTACAGAAGGTCACCTGTTTAACTTAATTAAAAATAATAGTAAATCTATGGTAAATGCTTACAGTAATATATTGTAAGACCTAATGCTCATTATAACCCTCTTACACTGATATTCTGTTTGTCTACATTTTTGAGATGTGGAAGTTGATGCTTTAGGAAACTAAGTGATATTTCCAAAGACAATCAAGCAGTGCAGCTGGCCCTGAAGCCAGTGCATACCTGCATCTCATAGTTTTATCTTTCTGGGATTGGTGCTTTTCATTTATAGGTTTTTCCCATGCATCTTCACCTTCTATTTTTTGCTTGGTACTACGTTCCATGTCTCTCTCACTAAACAAGAAACACCTTCAATTAACAAAACAGTCAACAAACAGAAAGAAATCCTTAAGTCTATTATTTTCCTGGCTACCGTCACAGCTCACTCCTTCCTTTTAATTGAACTGATTATTTCTGTTCCTTCTCTGGTGACTCTGATTTATCACTATCTAACCTTAGCACCCCAAAGCCCTGCCCTTTCTAAAGAGGGGAAACATAGGTCCCAAAGCTCAGCGAGTATTGATCTTAATTGTTCTCTCTTGAAGTGAGCTCATCATCATCATTTCTTTTTCCTTAAAGCTCCCTTGAAATTGTACTTTACCAACCCTCCTTTCTCGGCTGCTATCAGGTTCTGCTGCACTAGGGTGCAACACCTTTACTCTCTCATTACAACCATGTTCCCGAGTTCAATTATTGCAGTTGCAATTATTTCCAAACTGCTTTTACCTTGTAGTTCTACAGGCACACACTCATGATTCTCAAGGCAAGGCATCTTTTGGACTTCTTCCTCCTATGTTACTTATTTCAAACTGAAGGATCATTCTTCAAATCAAAATGGAAAAATACATGGGAGATTTATCCTCTCCTGTCACTCTGTCACTAACACCCTTATACAGTAATGTGTCTTGTTCTCCTGGTATATATACCTCAAAATGCACCTCTTTATTTCTATCTGATTCTTTGCTATATCATCAACCACTTTTATTATGTGTAGTTTATTTTTGGAGACAATGAGCTGATGTAATCTACAGCACTCATGCGTCCACTCATGTTTTCCCTTGCAGTGTAAATAAATGCCTTTCAACCTTAGTGTTTCGGGGGCTGGGGATGTAGCTCAGCAGCACGGTGCCTGCCTGAAAAGCACAAGGTCGTGAATTCGATTCCGGGTACTGGAAAAATAAATAAATAAATAAACTTTAGTGTCTCAACTCCACCCCATACCCTAGGATCACTCTGTTTAGATATCCCTCAAGTGGTCGCTCATCACAAGGACCTAGTGCCTCTTTACAGCTTCCTCTAAATGTTTTTATGCCTATCTCTAGACTCCAGGTATTATAAAATAGAAATAGAATGGTAAAGTACATGGATACTAGACTCAGTTTTGCCACTGATCAGTAGACAGATTCACACATGGACAAAATAGAAAATGATCACAGTATATACATCATAGCATAGTTGTGAATTGTGAGGATAAAGCAAACTATTTTCAGCAAGCTTAGTAATATGGTTACAATAGTATTTTTATATATATATATATTTTTTTTTCTTCCTCTAGACTCTTCAATAGACACTCCTCTCTTCTAAGGTGGAGATTTATCTCAGCATCACTAGCACTTCCAATCAAACCAAGCAAGATTCTCTATAAAATTTAATTGCTTTAAGGCTCTTTCTGTAGACCAGCTTTACAAGTAAAATAGCCAGTTTCATTGGATTTTACTCTGTAATTTAAATTCAAGAGGAAGTGGACAAGTAAAATGACAAACAAGTAGAAAGGCTCTATACTGAAACCTATATGTGACTTTCCAGGACGGATCAGTAGGCAATGACAAGCTGGCGGGCTTTGCAAGAGAAAACCACTCCCTCCACAGGAGACCTGTCGCTGCAGTCTCTGCAGGAAGCTGCTCTTAAGGACTCAGGTCCCCGGGCCAGCCGTACTCATGCACATTTACATTCTGGAGTTAGGGTCACACTCAAAGGCCTCTTCATGTGGAACCTTAACAGAGGCCCTGTGCTGAGACCATCTTCGAGGGTGCAGAAAACTGTGGTGAATACAATTTTCAGCAGGCTGACTCAGTACTGTTCTACCCCTACCCTAACCACCCTCCCCTTCCATAAAGCAATAAGAGACTTTTACTCAGGGATCCCTCCTCAATGAGATCACCATCACATCTGCATTCGTCCATCTGACATTCAGCCAACACTGTTCCCTGAGGGAAAATGGAACAGGGAAGGCATTCTTTCTCTAGCTTAGTCTTTTGCTTTCATTTCCCAGTAAGTAGCTTAAATCTCATCTGTCACTTTCTCTTTAGGACATTGATCCCAGGCGACCACTCAGACACCTAGCAGCTCAACTCTCTCCAGATAATGTCAGCTTCTGACATTCAAGTGAGATTGGTGAGATGGAGCAACACTGCAGATATAAAATATCCTGGAAAACAAAATTTTGCTTCACACATTCTACAAGATAGCATTATCTTTTTAATGGTTTCTTGATTTACAACTAGGTTAGAAAATACCTTAAGAATTCTACAATACAATTTCTTCATTTAAAAATGAACCTATCATGGGCATGGAAGTCTATGAGGACATAGCAAGGTGCAATGATAAGATTATATTGACTCCTCATCCAAAAATCAAACTTCCACAGAGATATGTGTTGTGTAGGGTTGAGTCCAGAAATACACCAATTCAGACAAGATTATTTTCTTTGTTCCCTTTCAGGAGTTAGGCTCTGCAATGCTACTTGATCACGCATGATGGGATAACCCAAACCCAAGAAGCTAAGGAAAATCTGAGTGAAGATATGTAAATATATGTTTCTCTTATGCAAATATCAAACAATAACTTCAACTTTCCAAATGAATTTATTTCACAGAGAAGGCTAAAGACTTGTAGATTTAAAGAGTCCAAGAGTAGATATATTAGCCAATTGAATTTAATATTGTGTATTGATAAGTTTTGATAGAAGATTTGGAAGAAGGAGGAGATACAAATAGAAAAGGAGATCATGTTTTCACCAACTGCATGAACCCCTCAGAATAAAATAATATGCACTTTCCCAAAACAATAGCAAGCATGTTCGAAAGAGCTGGGGCTTCGTGAGGTAAGGCAGGAGTATGATTCACCATCTTATAGCAAACTCAACTGTATGGGATGAAAAGGGCCATTAGTCTTCCAAATCCTAGTAAAGCACTTTCCACCAAGTGCTTTGCAAGTCGCCCCACAAGCCTAACTTCATAGTTGAAAGTAAATTTGAAATAAAGGACAATAAATCAAAAATTCAACTTCAAGCACAATTTTTGAGACTTGTCTTTGCATTTTTTGTTTGTTTGTTTTGTTTTTTTTGTTGTTTTTTTTTCCAGTCGAACTCATGACCTTGTGCTTGCCAGGCAGGCGCTGTGCTGCTGAGCTAAATTCCTAGCCCCTGTCTTTGTATTTTAGACACTTGAATATTACTTTTCCATTGCAATTATTTGATAAGCTTCCGTTTCCTCTGGCTTCATATACCAAATAGTAATAATTAAAAATATACACTGAAGGATCAGTTAAAACTCACTCCTTAATAACAAACTCATTTCGTAGATGAGCTGCTCTCTAAGTACATGTCTTCTACAATAAGAGATGGAAGAACCAAAGAAACACAGTGACAAAATGCCTAAGTAAGAACAAGACCATTAAATAGTTGCCTTAAACAGCACGAAAGGTCTCAATGAGAATTACAAAGAAACACTTAGTTATTGTTTATACTTCATTGTGTTGTTTATTTAAATAAAGTTTATAAATGATGGAATTTTTCTTTTAAATTATTGTTGCTATCATGCATATAAAAGATAACATTTATCATCCACACATGCACTTGGATAAACATTTCAAATGTCTTTTAACATTAGACACAACAATAATAGTTACTAATCCAAAAATTGTGACTTATCATTTTGTAGACTATTCATTTGTGCAATATAATTCTAGAAATTTAATATTTTTTTCTTTAGAAAAAACACTGAAGAACTACATATGCTACATGCTAAACAGAGCAAATAGGAATTTGCACAGAGCTAATGTCCAGGAAATGCTAAATACCTGCACTTAGGGTAAAAAAAAAAAAAAAAAAATCTGCTTTTATTATGCAAACTTCACAATGAAATATCTTATATATTAATACCACTAGAGGGCTTGATACATTTTGCTTAAAGAAAGAATTTCTTAATCCAGAATATCCTGGTATAAATGCAGTTCTACCCGCATCTTTCCAGTCTTACTTATTAAAACATTCACTCATGTGTAAATTAGTAAGAAGACATAATAGAGGGATCTGATCAAAGGAAAATTTTAAAGCTTGAACAATTGATTAAATAAGTGCATTAAGCAAACTGTCTGGTTGCAAATATTACCTAGTCTAAAAGTCACTGAAAATTATTTATGCAAACCTGTATTTAATAACATAATTCTAGGAAAGAGCCTCAGATCTTTTAGATCAATAGTTTTAAAGTTTCTTCATATATATATGTATACATATATATATATATATATCTCCACAATATTATTTACAAAAATTTTACTTCATTGAAATATTCTCTATATTTCAAAGGACTAGTTACCTTTATGGAAATTTCTCTGATTCTAATCTGGTCAAATTTTCTTAAGGAATGTATATTAATAATTACTGTTATTCAATTCATTTCTGAGCAGAATAAAGACATTTAATAAGTTAGATTTTACCATGACTGCTAATTTTGCTTTAAGTTTCATTATTCAGTCATATTGGGAATATATATATTATGAAACAATTAAAAGTAGAAATTTTGATACTCAGCTAAAGAAAAAATCCTCATAACTGATATTTGAACTTTTACTTACCCATTGAACCTACGAATTAGATCCATTGCACCAGGTCCTGAGTGTAGGTGGTTTATTACTACAAATAGAATTTTCAAAACTTTACCTTCAAAGTCCAACTTACTGCTACCTTATGTGAAGTAAAATACCTCTACATTTATGATTATTTAATGAAATTTACATTTTTCCCTTTATAAGAACTTTTTGAAACCACTTCTTCAAACCTTATATTGTTTTCAGGAAAATAACATATCCTATGGCACTGGATAGTTAGAAATATCATTTACTGTATGACTTTTTTGGTTTAAAACACAATGAAACATAATTATATTTGACTACAGCCTTGGGTGACATTCAAATTACGCAGCCCTGAGTTGAGCAGATGCTGATCAACTCACAGTGCCCTGCTGGGGAGCTCAAGTTGGGGATCAGCTAAGATGTCAACACAAGATCAAAAGCCTAAAGTGGTTGTATAGAGGTTTTACTATGAAATAGTTAAAAAAAAAATTCTCTGTATTATATTTGTATTTATAGTTCACAGGATCAAAGTCATTGTGATCTAATAAATGGAATGGGCCACAAATAGTAAAACTGCTCTAAAAGTCAACCTTTTAACCCATCATAATAGCACTTTGAATTAGAGTAGAGGTCTCTGGAATGTTAAGCGGATTCTATTCACTAAAATTTGTTCAATAATTGCTGATATTGCTATAGACAAAAAACCATAAAATATAGCCAGCTCACAGTATAAAGCTTGTCATTCTATACCTCTAATCCTGTAACACATATTGCATTTCATATTGACATTGACTATTATACTTCATAGTATAGCTTTACAATTATTCTACTTTTCATTAAGAAACAGGAACATTCATAAGTGTACTCTGATCAAAATCACTGTGACAACAACCAATTTACATCTTGTCCATCACTTGTGATTATTCTGAATATTTATCCTATAATTAAACAATTCCACACCCAAGACAGTCTTTTCTCCACGTTATTACTGTTCCTCCAGCTAGGGTTTGTTGCATATATAATTGTGCCCATGACCGTTACTGCACAACCTCCTTTATTCTTAAATTGTGTAAAAGTGTACAATATAAAACATTTTCGAGACCCCCTCAAAGTAAACCTTCTAATTTTCTTAGAAAATACTTACAGTTACAAACTATTTGCTGCCCTAATGCTTCATTCAGAATAAATGTCACATGAGAAGAATATCCACGGGTTCATTGTATCTCCTTTCTTTAGTTCATACGATTGCTGCACTCAATTCTGAAAAATAAAAAATTGGAAGGGTTACACTCTCCAATAGAATGATATAATTTCTATGAGATGCATAAATAATAAGAAAATACTAGACTATGTTTGACCACATGTCTCTCAGTACTGAATGAATTCATCATGAAGAATTTTTAAAGTTAAATTTACATACTTTAAAAAATCATTGTTAATTATATCATGCATTAAACAAGTCAGATATAACCTTTTACTTCATGTATAAGATAAAATGAATCTTCACATAATCCATGGGAATTTGACCTGGTATATTCTTACAGTTGTTTTTAGGATAATAAAAAAATAAGAATAAGAATATGTTTCTCTTTAAAGTTATCATAAAACCAACTCCACAATATTTTGATGAGCTAATAAATTAATTTTTAGTACCCAAGAATCCATAGGGTAAGTCACTTTATTTTTCTCTATCCAGTAAATTATGTATACCCATACTGTTTCACAAAAAAAGCATATGTTTAAACATTGTGGGATTCATTAAAGTTATGCAAAGAAAATATTAATTTTTGTATTGTGCTACCTATTGAGTATTTATATATTTGTAGTTATCTTCAGATGCATTGATCACCCATCTTCAGAGGGAGAAGAATATGCCTTTCTGCTTTACTTAGCTATCAGCTGAAATCAGACCATCAACACTGATGGCAGGATTTCCAGCGGAGATCCTCTTTAGGCTGCTAACCTGTGTTACAGTGTCTTACTGGGAATCAGCTTAATATTTAGTAATAAAACTAAAAAAAATAAGATGTATTTGTTTCATTAAAATGTAAAAATCATTTTATGTTCAAATGTTATAACACCCTCACTACCACCTCCCAAAATCAACATTTAGCAGACTCATTTTACATTAGCCCTGCAGAATGGCACAGAGTTTAATGACAGCAGAAGTTAACCAATGAGTTGATCTCATTCACTGTGAGAATAAATAACTTGACAAAAGGCTCACCTCTACAAAATAAAATCTGTACCTCTCCATGTAGGTACACACTATATAGCAGGTAGTTGAAATATTGACTGTTTACAGCCCACTCTCTGATTGCTCTGTATATCCATTCCAATCGTATTACTCTAGCTTTTCATGCATGATTTTGTTTGTTTTTTCTTTGTGATAATGTGATTATCAATTCTTCCTGGGAAGAATTTCAGAAATGAATGCATGCACTAATAATGCTACATGAGATTTACACGTGGAAAGAAGAAGATTCAAGAATTTAATTCAGAAGTATTTTCTTCTACTATAATTTTAATTGTCTTTTTGTCCATTTGTTTGCTATGTCCTCTATGACTTCCGCTGATGTATTACAGTTCTGTTCTCCTCTCTTTACATCTTTCATACCCTACTAGCCACTCAAAACATATTTTATCCTATCTCAGGCAATTATTGCATATTCTTAGAAGCTACTTTTTAAATTTTAGTGTGATTTTCACTGTATTATTTGTCAACATTTTTCTACTACATATCCCTTAAGAGTGATATTTGTTTGATCTTTTTTATTTATACAAAAAAATAACAAAATACAACAACAAAGGCAAAAACAAAACAACACAAAAACAATTAAAACAATTTCAAAACAAGATGATAGGAATTAACAATGCATGTTATATTGCATATTGCTATCGTCAATGAAGTTGCTCAGATTAGCAGATGTAAGAATGCAAGACTGATCAAACAATTAAAAAGAATAACAACTAATTTTAAAAAAAAAAACACTTTAGAAATGATACAGAGCTTCACTGAACAATATGGCAGGAATTAAACAATGGCTGTTATACTGCATATTGTTGTCTTCAAATTAGTTGTTCAGATACCAGATATAAGCATGAAAATTTGGTCAAAATTTTAAGCATTAACTGTTCATTTGAATAACCCAATAGACATCAGCAGTACAATTCTGCCAGCTATCCCTGTATTCACATCTATGTATTTTCCCCTCCCTTCTTTCTTTCTTTTCTCCTTTCCCTCATCCCAATTGTTCCTTTGCTTTGAGCAATGCATTTCCATTTCACAATTATCTACTGTACCTTTTGGGTTTTATTTACTCTTTCAGGTTCTTACACTAGGGAGACAATACAATGTTTACACATGTAGCTCTGATTTATTTCACTTATGGGTATGGTCACCATTTATCTATAAAAGCCTCAAGTTTATCTTTTTTATAGCTGAGTGATACTCCACTGTATAAAAATACCACAGATTCAATGCTTGATCTTCATTTATTTCTCTCACATTATAAGCTCGTTTCTGAAAACTCAAAATTTTCCTTAGGCTTTCAACTTTTTACACATTTTATGTTAACTTATGAGACTATATATGGTCAAAACTTCCTTTTTCTATTCCATTCTATCATTTAGGACATATGTTTCTCATCTCTCTTATACTTACATTCCCACCTATTCCTGCTGGTGAATGTGAGGTTTCTACACAGAGATATACACGGTGTTACTCTTCAGTTCTTGGACTGGAAATCTTTTCAATTCTTGGAACTCATCATTCGCTGAAGTTGTCCATAAGAATTTGGATTTCAATTCAATGCTCTTTTAAGAACAGTCTTTAAAAATTTTACTTATTTTACTTATTAAGTCTATCTTATCATTTTTTCGGTATGTATTTTTCATGAATGCACAGACAGTGTCAACCCCTTTAAATCAAAATCACTAAAAAGTACTGAATATTTGTGTGACTGACTGAATGAATACACTGACCTTCACTGTGTCTAATGTTGATGGTCCATGGTTCTCCCCTTATTGGATCATGAAATTCATACAGTTTAACTAACAAGGTTTGTATTTACGGAGATTCTTCTTGCTTAGTGACTACAGGTATTTGTTATGGGTCTTGCTTTTTAGTTTCCTTTACTTTGGCACTCTATTTACAGGCTAGTCTGCACCTTACAGATGGGCAAATTCATTGACATCACAGTTAGATCTATCCAAAGATTCATTCTCAGAATAACTGGAAATCAGTGAATGTATTATCACAAATGCTAATATGGGTTGTTAGAAAAAGAATACTACCGCTATTTGAGGCAGCAGAGCTAGATAGAATCTAATGCAGAGTCAGAGAGGAATTGGGACCTCAAGGAAATCAGCATCAAAAAAGAAGGCCATGCAATGGCCAGGATTACATGCCACCTTATATAAACAGCAACATGAGATTACACTATACCACCTGATCTAATAAGTCTACAGAGGAATCAAATGCCCAAGTGAGTGAACAGAGCATTTCACCCCCTCTATCCCCAAAATGACTGTTCTTTTCAGGTACCCATATTATGTGACTTGCTTCCCTTGGGTCAATCTTAGCTAAGTGGCTACACATGTGATCCTACACTGGTTGTACTTTCACCCACATGGGATCCGCATTGTTACTTTCCCTCTGCAAATTACGCCTGACAAAGGACTGCAGTAGCCACCCAGTTTTCAAGGACTCTCCTGGAAATCCAGGAGCTACTCTTCTTCCTCTTACTTCTATGAAATGCCCCCTAAATGCTTCCTTTAGTTTACTCCTTCATTCCTCGATTTTGAGGCACTACAAACCCGGGCCCTTTGACATTTAACATGTAGGGAGTTACATTTTTCCTACACCATTATTATCCCACAAGTGGTGAAAATCACAATCAACTCTTGAGTAATTTTGGAGTGATTTGTCATTGTGATAGCTCAATTCAACTTTGAATGGTTATTCAATGTCTTATCAGTTTACACTTAAATTCAACATCCACCAGAGGCACTTGTTGTAAAAGCACCATCCCAATTTTATTTCAGTATTTGATATCTCTTTTCTTGTCAATGACAAAAATGATGTAATCTACTTAGTTACCTTCTGGACAATATAAAATTATAAACCTGGGAATAAGGGGACAGAGAGGTAGATGATAACCCTTCCACTCACCATGCATTTCTGTTGCATCCTTTCATACTAACCAGTGCTATGTACACATAACTAACACATATCTTTAGCTTGGGGAAAGCAATAAGTGAAAGTGAGGCCTATTTCACTCCTGATTAGCAGCCCTACCCTCAGAATACTTTTTGGTTCTTGATGTCTAACTTACTCTACCAGAGGAATGACAGGCAGTGGGATCCAAGTGCTCCAGAATTCCTATGCCACCTACAATCAAAATACTTTTTATACTTTTTCAATTTCTAGCTAAGAAAAAAATGAGGATCCTGTTAGAATGTGATTTGCCCACATACGGCACCTTTAGAATATCTGGCTCTAAGACAATAAAACAAACAAATATTAAAACCATCAAAAACAAAACAATGAGCTCTAAATGCTATAAGTTATAAACCATACATGTTTATAATAGGGAATAAACAACTATGTTTTAATGAGGACAAATTTAACATCTAGTAATAAAAGGTTTTAAAATACTATTACTCTATTGTAACATAAAAACTATTTTCATTACAAATGTTATAACACTTTTCTTTGTACCTCCCAAAGTCAGAATTTAATGGATTCCTTTCAAATGAATGCTAAAGACTGTCATACATCAAAGCAGTCATGTTCTTTCCTATATTTTGCAGATATTAATCAGGCCTTTTCAAAAATACTTTAGCACTAGCCATACATTTTCAATCTTTCCTCTATTTGACTCTTTCAAACAAATTACCCATTTCAAGATAATTTCTGTTGACTGGTCAAGAGTTTCTTACTTATTATTTGTAAATTAATTAAGGTAGTGTTTTGTTTATGAAACCCCATGGACAAACTTAGCCTAATGTGAACAAATAATTTTTGTGTTAAATTTTTAAAAGTTAATATACATACCTATTATTTAAGGTACAATATACATTAAATAATAATATTTACAGTTAATATTTAGCAATTTGAAATTTTGAAAAAATTCAAAGGATCTTAATAAAACTGTAAAATTAGAATGCAAATGTCAATATGCTAAATGCCAGATTTCTGAGGCAAATATGCATAAGAAATAAAGAAGACATATATGTCTTTTAAAGCATAAACTTTG